ATGCAGCACCGCCCCTTGCCTGCAGGGGAGGGACAGCTGCGCACAGAGCCCTGGCAGCGTGCGTACATGCGTGCGTGCGTTCTCTGCGACGGCCGTGTAGCCCCGCCCACCTGCGGGCCACAGCTGGATCGCCCTTCTAGCACAGACCCTGAAATGGTCCTACCACCTGGGGGACAGAATCGCCTGTTACCCCTCTTTCAAAAATCTCTTTGCTTTCCCCAAACACATGAATAAAATGATCACTGACCGAGGGCTCCCCTCTGGCTGATACGATGAGAAGTACCTGGTGGGCAATGCCACAGTGGCTCCCACAGACCATTGATGGGGATAGCCCTGGACCGGGCAACATTTTGCTCTGTTGCACGGAGGGGAAGGGTCGTTAGGAGTTGAAACCGATTCCCTTAACAACGACATAGACCACAGGACGGTAAAGGATGCATGCCGCCCCCAGAACCACTGGGTCGTAGGACGTGCCCTGCTGGCAACAGGAAGGTTGAACTCTGCTGTCCATTTGATTTCTGCTATTGGTGACCTGTCAGGACAGAGGAGAAGGCTCCACAGAGTTTCTAAGACTGTCAGTCTCTGGGAGCAGGCAGCTTCAATCTTTATCCTTCAAAGCAGTTGCGGGGTTCAGGCTGCTGACTTTTTGGTTAGCAGCCCAGTGTGTGACTCAGTAGACCACCCCCTGCCCTCCCCCGCCCCCCAAAAAACCAAACAAACAACTCACTGCCATCGGATCACTGCCAATTCATAGTGACCCCATGGGGCAGGGTAGCACTGCCTTTGGGTTTCTGAGGCTCTAGCTCTTTGCAGGAGTAGAGAGCCCTTCTTTCTCCCATGGAGCAGCTGGTGGTTTCAAACTGCAGACTGAGCAGTTAGCAGCCCAATGTCTAACGGCTATGCTACCAGATCTCCTTAAACAGGAGAAGAGACATGACTGAGAGGGCAGGTGCCTCCAGATCCTTCGTCCTCCCACTCAGAATGGCTCTCTCTTGAGAGCAGGCTCGGGGGGTGCCTTGGGGCTCAGGAAGCCTGACTGGATTTTGGCTAGCCCTGGAACATAGTAGGCCTTCTGAGCTTGGGCTCCTGGGTCCCCAACCTCTGTTACTATTCCCCAATCGGCAGGCAGCTGACTGAGGACCAGTGGCATGGGACTCTGCAGCGTGAACAGCCACTCAGGGTCCTAGCCTGACATCCATATGGGCCTCTCTTTTCTAGCTGATAGTCACATGGGGGAGACCCTAGAAGGCTTCTGGGTAAAAGCAGAGTCTTCAGTGACAGGCCAGGGTTCAAGTCCCTCTTGCTGCTGACTGTGTGACCCTGAGCAAGTTACCTCTCTCAGCCTCTCAAGCTCAGTCCTTTCACCTGGTAAATAAGATCGTTGTGAGGCTTCGCAGAAGGAGCCCAGGTAGTACAGTGGTTAAGCACTCATCTGTGAACTGGAATGTTGGCAGTTCAAACCTACCAGCCACTCGATGGGAGGAAGATGAGGCAATCTGCTTCTGACAGATTGACAGGTATGAGTCAGAATGGACACTCAGGGTTGGATTGGGAGGGAAGCTTAGAAGGTAGCATGTGACAGTTCTGTCACATAGTAGGTGCTCTGGAAGTGCTAACTATCATTCTTTCTCTGCTGGGGTTAGAAATGCTTCTTTAGAAATTCTCTCCTACTTAAGTAAAAAAGTCATCCATGAAGCAGCCTTGGAATATCTGCTCATATGGCTGGTGCTAGAGTTTAACACTGAAAAATCCAGTCGCCCGTTCAATTCTGACACGCAGCGCCCACCCAGTGAGAAGCCGGCCACCTCTCCTTTCTCCTGCAGAGAAGCTGATGGCTTCCAACTGGGGACCTTGCTGTTAGTAGCCCTGTGCTTAACCCACTGGGCCACTAGAGTGTCTATATACTATGAAGGAACAGGAATCCGTACCACACCCCTAGCTTCAAGTTACTGTGGTGAAAACCTGCATCCTATTTGATGTGTCTTAACACTTGACTTTTGTTTTCTCTTTGTGGCCAACGCAGAAATAAGTGACCGGATTCACCCCAGGGTCTGAGCCGTGTGCCCACTGGCCACCAGTTCAAAAGTGGTTGGGGCCAGCCCTCTCCTGGGGCCTGACTTTCACTCTCCAGAGGAGAATCCACTTCTTGACTCCCCAGGATAACTTCTCCCCTAGTAAAATTTGACCCTATTGCAAAGCTGGTGAAAAGTAAACTCATTTTAGCTTGGAAAGGAAGACGTGCACCAGGTCAGAGAGTCGGTCTGGGTGGTCATAAGCAGTTTCATATACAGTGAAGTGCACGATCGTTATGTGGGGACACAACAAGGACTTCAGTAGCCGCAGCGCAGCCAGCTCCTTGCAGATGTTACATGTGGAGAGCCGGTGCCTGCGAGCTTAGGTGGAAAGGGGGATGCAATTTATAGGGCGCATTTTACATCTCCCCTATGAACGATCCAGCATGTGAGCATCCTAGCGTGACAGCGAACACTGCAGGCCGGGACAGTCAGCATTGGTGGCTTCAAATCAAAGACAGAGGCTCTGGCAGCGGTAGGAGTGACCATTGCTGAGCACCTCGTCTTAACGTCCGTGGTTTTATTTCTGGCAGGATTTCCTGCGATGGCCCCTGCAGGAAATTGTGATTTGTGTGTATTTGCGTGCATATGTGTGTGGTCCATTAACATGGGGAAATGATGTGAACTCGCGAAGGCTTGGCCAGGTATAACTAAGTCCAATCAGTAATCTTGCGACCGATGGCATTGAGGGCCGTGTGTTTGCTTTCAGCATGTTTCCACTGTATTAAGAAACTAAAATGCCAGCCATGTTTTTTGTGGTGTTGTCAGATATCATCCACTGGGTTCCAACTTACAGTGACCTCTGTCCAACAGAATGAAAGACTATCTGCTCTCACAATCGTGTGTTCGAATCCATGGTTACCTATTAACCAAACTCACTGCCAGCCAGTTGAAGTGAACTCGTAGCGACACTATAGGACAGGGTAGAACTGCTTTTGTAAGTTTCCAAAACTATAACTCTTTACAGGAGTAGAAAGCCCTGCCTTTCTCCCCTGGAGCGACTGGTTGTTTCGAACTGCTGGCCTTGGGGTTAGTAGCCCAAGTGAACCCACCGGGGCTCCTTACTCTCTTGCAGCTAGACCCAGAAAAAGTAAGTTATCAAAATTGGTCGAGTGAGCGGATAGCAACCCAAGTCGACTATCATTTTCTAGAACACACTGAATGGTTTGCTCCCACATATTCTCTAAAAGGTTCAGCCTAGGTTCTTTGATAATATCCAACTTTAGTAGATCATTCCATAAACTTTTTTCCTAAAGTGCCGTTGACAGGTCTACACACCTCCCTCCTGGAGGCAGCATAGGACAGGAGAGCTCGTCACTCCAGCCGTAGCCTGCAGTCCCTTGTGGTACCCACCCTGTTCCCTTGCAGACCTCGGCATTGCCAAAATCGTCAATCGTGGAACAAGAAGCATTTTAAAAGATGGTTACAGCTTCTCCGTGGGCGGTCAATGATCGTCACAGGAGACTGGGGCTCTGCAGGTGCATGGCCACCTTCAAATATGTTGTCAGATGCTCCCGAGTCAGTTCCGACTCAGCGACCCGCCATCCTCACAACCATACTTATGTTTGAGCCCACTGTTGCCGCCACCGTGTCAATCCGTCTTGTTGAGGGTCTCCCTCTTCTGCCGCTGGCCCTCCACTTTACCAAATACGTTAGAATGCCCTGAGTAACTGGTGCCATCTGCTGCCCCAGGCTCACTGCGGACTAAACAGCCCACTCAACCCAGCCCCGTTAGGCCTCTCTCTGACAAGTGTATGCAGATGGCATTCTACTGCCAAAGGTGAAAGGGTCCACTTAACAAGAGCCCCTTGTCTGCGTTCTAGTTCGCACCTCACCTCTTCAGAGCGTGAGATCGGACCCTGATCATGAATGAACACAATGACCTGGGGGATCCTGGCTTTCAGTCATAGAGGACGTTTGGGAAATAACCAAGCCTAATGACAAATAAAAGTGAGATATGGCTGAAATGTCAAGCCCTCATCACTGCCCCCCCCCCCCAAAAGCATGTCATAACCCAGTGAAAATGGAAAGGAATGGGGCAAACGAGCTGGAGAAGATTCTGTTCCATCGAGAAAAGATGTCATTTACAATGGACGTTGACTCTCTCTCCTTACCACTAAGTATTCTCAAATAAATTGCCCTTCTGGGGCCAGCTGGATAGCAAGGCTCATTTTGCAACATTTTCTACACATCTTGGTCTGGCAGAGACAAGAATCAATAAATAACATTTTAATTGCATTTGCTTCTTTTTATTATTTTTAAGTGCATTGAAAAACAACATGATCATGAGACCCACCCTCCCGTGAGAAATGTTATTCTTCAGTTTTCTGTAATGCCTTTTTTATTTTAATGAGAAAAGAAAGAGTTTGAAAAAAATGCTTTTGCAATCAGCATTTTGATTTTTAGAATTAGACCACTCATTTCCTAGAAGGGGGGAAAATATTTCCTTTGCGATTCAGAAATATTATAAATGGACAAGGCATTACCATCAAGCCAATACTGACTCATGGTGACCTTATAGGAGAGGGTAGAACTGCTTCTGCAGGTTTCAAAGGCTGTAAACCATGATGGGAGAGGCTGGTGGTTTCAAACTGCTGGCCTTGTGGTTAGCAGGCCGATGTGTAATCACAGAGGCTATTAATGGTAAACAGCAAGGTTCTGGCCTTTGCACACACCATATGGATAGAAAAGAAAAGACTGTTTTAAAACAGGACACCATGATGCCCCTGGGAAAACCAGCAACCAGGCGTGAAACCCACCCCAGTGCCACGGAGTCGATGCAGAAGGATGGTGAGTGGCTCTTAGAACAGAGTGGAATGGCCACCCGTTTTCCCATAAAGCAGCCCAAACCAGAAAACACCAAACTTACTGCCGACCAGTGGCTTCTGACTCATAGCAACCCTACCGTACAGGGTAGAACTCTGTGGGTTTGTTTGCAAGACTTTTAATTCTTTATTGGGAGTCGAAATCCCATCTTTCTCCCGAGGAGCAGCAGGTGGTTTTGAACTGCTGACTTGCAGTTAGTAGCCCATCCTATAACAAGTAACCAGTATGCCCTGAGGGTTCCTCATGAGAGCTGATGGCTGAGCCTTTCCCGTGTGGGTTCAAAGGACCCACGTCTCAGCAGACAAGCCTTAACAACTGTGCCACCAGGGCGCCTCAACCCAGCCACAGGAACGTCAGATTACAGACCGTCTGTGTTCACTGAAAGATTGTGCCATATCTTCCTCATGGGATGACACTGACTTAAATGAGGTTTTTTTTACCTACATTTAATGATGCTGGCCCTTAAATTTCTCCCAAGGGCATAATGACATCTGTCACATGCCCTCAGGAGCTAGCATTATGTGTCCACAGGGAAAGCCCCCCAGGGGAGCTGAGGGGACTGGGCAGGCTCTCCGGGAGCTGAGGGCCCACCCGAGGGACCCCACTGGGCTTCTGTGTGTGTCGTCAGCAGGCACACACTCGGGTCAAAAGGAACCTTGGCTGGGGAAAAGCCATCTCCTTGGAAGTTCCTGGAAATGGGCAATCAATTTTTGGGAATTGACTGCCTTACTATTCATTGATTGCTTTTAGGCTCTAATCCCTTATGGAATATATTTTGTCTCCCACATAATTGCTACTTCTTCAAAGGGTTGCTGGAATAGCCTGTTGTATTGTGTGAAAAATGTGGAAGGCATCCTGTTTCCTGCACCTCTGTGACGTGGTGATACTAATGGAGCGGCTCCAAACTCCACCATCATACTTTCTACTTTAAATGGAACCATGGAACCTGGTGATGTGCGGCCCGGGGATTTTTGTTTGTGTGTTTGTTTCTTGGGGCTATGGTTTTACAACGATTTTAAATGTATGGAAAAATTTATTATGGAGGAAATAATTTTGAACTGCTGAAAATCTCAACATGTGAGTTTCCTGTGCCGATTTATATAAGTTATTTTCCTGTGCCAATCCATTTAGACAATAAAACAACACTCTGCCATCTAATAAGTTCTGATACATAGTCACCTTATATAGGGTTTCCGGGATTATAAATCTTCATGGGAGTAGCTAGCCTTATCTTTCTCCCACGGAGGATTTGGCTGGTGGGTTTGAACTTGAAGTTAGCAGTCCGACACCTCACAGCCAGCGAGCACCACCAGGCCCCATTGTCCATCCAGAAGCACATCAGCTTCAATTGTTCTGAGATGTAATTAAGCAGTGCATGAAGTTTTCAGTGTTGTAATGTATAGTCTGGCCTTTACCATCCATTACTTAGTCTTCCTGTGACTTAGCATGTGTTTTACAGACAGTCAGCACCTCCATCACCCTCACTAGAATTAAAATAACCCCATTGCATCTAGATTAGCAAAGAATATTCCATACACCATGGGCTGCCAGAGGAATGAAGGCATTTGTGTTGGAAGAAGTTCAGTCGGAACGCTTCTTCAAAGTGAGGATGATGAAACTCTGTCTTCTGGGCTTGGGACATTGTGACCAGGAGCAGCCAGTCCCTGGAGAGAAGCATCGTGTCAGTGAAAATGAGGACGATGCTCCAGGAGGTGGGTTGACACGGTGGCTGCAGACACTGGCCCCAGACAAAGGAACAATGTTGCAAATGGGCACAGGATGGGCTCAGCAGGAGTTGCAGCCAACTCCAGGACACCCAGCAGCCGTCACCATAGATGGGTGGGTCCAAACAAGGCCACAGGGACCGAGGAAGGCATGAATGTACTGTGGCCCGAGCAGCCGAAGTTGCCATCCGAGACGGGCACCGTGGAATCTCTCAGCTCTGCCGATGGTCCCTTCTTGCAGGAAGTCCCTCCTGGCTGAGCTGTCTAGCCATGCTTCATGCAGACCTGGCATCGGCTGATTTTCTGGCGTTGGGCCTGGCTTTCCTTTAAGGTGTCTGGTGATGGTGCGGCGGAGAACTGCACGGCAGGTTTTACGGTGGTCAGCCAGAAGCTATACTTGTTTGCAAAAAAGTGGCACGTCCCCTGCCGGCCCTGGCATTCGAGGAAAGGTGCTGCTCTGAAATCTTCCAGACAGCTGCCGGGTGACATGAGGGGTTGCCCGCCTCCTTGGGAGCCAGCTCCTGTGTGCTAGCCAGAACACAAGAGAGAATTAGGGTTCAGGCACAAATGGACACCACAGACCCCATCAGTGGCACGCTGAGGCCTGGCCCCGAGTTTAACATTTGACTTTCATCATCGAAGCCAAAAATACTGTCTTCTCAAGAGAGGAGAAGCAGCAGAAATGGTTGGGTGAACACAAAGTGGGCCAATTTCACCGGCGATGGAAGCAAATGCAACTTCTAATTTCTACTAAAGTACTGAAAAAACATCTAGTTGATGACGTAAAAAAATGGCTCTGCATCTCAGCAGGTTATGGCTTGCGGTGGCCTCCGAGACCTGATAGCCACCGTGACTGTCCCCCCAATGATTGCAATCCAGATGGCAAGACTAGAGAAGGCCGGGCAACATGGCAGGAAGACCAGG